GAGGGTTACAAACTCCCAAGTTGGAAATGTTTGATGGTACAGGGGATCCCAGGGTTCACATTAAGAACATACTGTGACAAAGCTGGTCGGGAGTAGGAAGAGATGAGAAGATCCGCATGAAGCTTTTTCATGAGGCCCTGAAATGGAGATGCTCTATCTTGGTACATTAGACAGACCCGAAGAAAGTGGTCGGACTGGGTTAAGTACTGGCGTCCGACTTCATGGATAGATTCATGGTTTTGTGTCAATACGGAAAATGCACCGGATGTGTTCTTACATTCAGAAATTTGGAAGAAGAAACCCAAAGAAACATTCCGCGACGTATGCACTCCATTGGAGATCAGAGGCTGCTTCAAAGTCCGACCTGCTTTAGAGGAAGAACAAATGAACAAGTTTTTCATCCGGCTCAGGATCCGCAATACTATAATGAAAGACTGATGCTGATCGACAATCATAAATTTTACTGACATCTCATCAAGCTAGAGAGAAAAGGATCGAGGAAGGTATCAAAAGTGGTATGGTTAAGAAACTTGGAAGCCTTGCAAGCTACCAATAAGGCTCTACAGTCTGGTGGTACGTCCAAGAAAAGGGACATGGCGCCGTAAAAGGTTGCAACAGGGAACCAAATCACTCTGTCAAATACCGAAATCTTATTCCACATGCCTCCACTTATATATCAGCTCCACTCCAAATTACCAAACACCCTCTACCTTCCTACAACTCCAACCTGCCTACTTATTAATCACCTCGGACCCTCCTACATACCAACCTGCTTCACCCAGATATTCCCAGCCCGCAACGACGTCTACCAAGCTTACAGCACTCAACAATCCCACTATCAATCACTCCCCCTCGTCAAAAACGTTCCTAGACCCCGACCAAATTTCGACCGGCAGACGCTCCCGAAACAGTATAACCCGGCATTGTCGAACCAATTGACACAACTGTAACGAAAGGCCTCAAAGCTGCTATGGGTTACTATTATCACGTTTCCCTATCAACGTGATAACCCCTCGTAAGGACCCTCCTCCAACTCGCGGCTCAACCCAAATTAAAACTATAAGTGCATACCATTTCTCGCCGCCATTCGGTACAAAAGGGCATCAGCCCAATTTGAATGTGAATTCGCTAACATCCGCTCCCTGAGGAATATAGATCTCAGGACATGTATGTTGAACAAACACGAAAGTATCACGTGGCAAAGGGAGCCTGCTTGAATGTCCAAGATAACCTCTACCCAGACCACAAGGTGGAGGTGTTTCACATGTTGAAATAGAGATGATTGGGATCCCAAGGGATCGATCGGTTTTGATCGCAGAAGGCGATGTTCCAAAGAAACCCAAATAGTCACCGCTTAATCCGATTGTAGGTAGCCAGATTCGGGAGCATCTGGAGTTGCCGTGAGGTGAACATGCCACACAACTGTGCGTTTGAAACACCATCCTCTGCGAAGACGCCAAACGCAATTGAGGTCCTGAGTTTGGGCTCCTCTCAAAGGCAACCTGTACCATTGTGAAGTTGCTGTAGTTCTTCTCAAAGCAGGGTGGGCCCCATTCCAGTAAGCGAATGACAGCCGTAACACACATTCCAGCAGCAAAAGCGATATCCATGGGAAGCTACAACAGCCGAGGCAAGAAGGAAAGGGAATAGTCAATGTTCGGGGGACAGTTGCAGCAACAGGGAATGACAAGAAGCCGCAGGGTTTATACCCCGGAACACTTGGCTGAGTCGAGTAAGGCAGATCCTCGGCTGGTCGACAAAAGCCATCACTGAAAACTCTGGGCCCGGACGATGCTCTTGGAGAACAGATAGCAAGCCCAAAGAATAACTCAGTCCATTGATCAGGCGTGAACAAAACACCGGCACAGATTTCTATCCTTGCTTTGTTACGAAGTTCCGATGCACACAAGAATGCCTGTTATAGAGTGCTGAGTGAGGCATATGTCCAATTAAACACCGGGCGGAGAAATGGCGTAACATGGTAGGCCCAGGTATATGGAAAGTCCCTAAGATCACTTTCCACAAAGATGAGCTGGCCACCAGAGGGGTTGAGTCACACAACAAGGCGTATCCACAGTCAACCGTGCCAGTGCGAAGGAATTATTTTATCACAGGGTCCCTAATTGACCGGAGGATCCACCTCAACATTTGTTTCGGCTGGTAACACTTAGGACATTAGGTAAAGGGGCTGCATGAGATTCCAAGGATGGGGCCATCACGTCAAAAGCTTTTCGACGATGCCCAAAGGTCTAGCTATTGGGGAATAGTTAGCTTGTGTGTTGCAAATGGGGCCTACTTTGGTTGATGTTGATTTTCAAGTGATAGACGTGCGCAATCTAACAATCTGTTGGGGACGACATGGATTCATGCCGCAGGGGCCGTAGCATTAACACTACATCAGGCAGTGAAAGTTTGAAGGTGATAACCAGAGAAGTGATCGAATTCATGGCGACGGTAAGCAATCCCATATACCAGTCCCAGAACCATCCCAACATTGGAGGAAGAAGGAGAGGATAGAGGCGGGGAAACTTACCACTACATCGAATGAGTCAATGCCGTCAATAAAGATAAGTGGTGGGATAGACAGAAATTGAAAGCGTATAGTTGAACTGGAGCGGGTATGAACCTGGCAAGGGAGCTTGGCAAGAATCTCAGCAGTAATTCGCTAAGGCCCCATCAGCTCAAAAACAGATGACACCACTTCGGATTGGGGTAAATGAGTAATACCTGGGAAAGAATTCAACGAATGGTCGCCACCCTGCGCCGGTCCTTATATCCATCTGGAGCAGCCAATACCCCGTTGGAGCAACCTTCCAACCTGGCCGAGGTTATCTAGGCGGGTCAGGAAGAAGAAGAAGCCCTGTGCAGGCAATGGAGGGAATCTCGGTGTTCCTAGAAGGAGGACGATGGAATGGGATTGGCTGTGTCAGTATTCGATGGAGGGGGGGAGGAAGGCCCCTTCCATACAGGGTCGTAAGCAGAGGAGCACGGCCTCAATAATTGGGGAGCTATCAGAACCACCAGAGCCTGGCGAGCCTCGGTAGCAAGGCTGAGACAAGCATCATGGCACTATTTTAGTTTAACCAGTTTACTTTCCTTTCAGACATTTTTTACTTTTTGCTAAAGAAAGAGCTCCAATGTTCAAAAACATTTATGGAATTGTACCAAGCATATTCTTCAAATGTATCTTAAATAGAATCTTAGCTCTTATTATTGCTCTCTCATTCTTTACTTATACAGACATTACTATTACGTTATCCTTGATGAAACCAGCAATGACTCGTGACATGCAAACGAGAAAATAGATAAGCCGAGAGGCTGTTTGGGAAGATGATATACCAGAGGTCTTAGAAGTTGAGAAATTGTTGAGACAGGCCTTAGAGTCCACCTGGACGAAACTGAGAATTGGTTAACCTGGGAGTGCAGAAAACATTCAAAGAGACAGCGAATCAGCGTTCGATATTGTCACCATTCAGAAAAGGAAGATAAGCAGAGTTTTCCTACAGAGAGTATGAGGACATTTCGGCTGGTCGTGACGACGACATGACTGGTCTGAGTACATCTATTGTGGCCACAAATTGCCAACTCGATCCAGCCTGTCCACCAGTAAAGCAAGAAAGCTCAGAAAATTCCAAGCCAGGATATGAGTTTA